ATCACAAAATTGAAATGGTGAAATTCCTAGATTAAAAGACAACATATAGTATATAGTCATCATATGTTAGTCTCAAAATAACTTAAGTTCAGCCTTAGGCAACACCAATTTGAATTTTTATTTTTCTGGAACACCTATTAGAATTTTGTTTTCCATTTCTTAGTGGAAAAACAATAATTTGAAAATAAAAAATACTGATATTTGTTCTGTTTAAAAGCTTTTAGTTTAGATTTTTAAGTTTTAAACTAAACATTAATCACGAGACTCTAGTGAACTAATAATTTCATTTCTTTCGCCCTTCAAATTTGTCTTATCTATTTTCATGGGTTCCATTCATATATGATTTTAATCATTTTATATGCCATATACTGTATTGTCCTCAATTATATTACATGTATAAGTAGCTGTACATCACCATAAGGTAAATGGCCTCATCACAAATGTATTCTACAAGCATTATATACATGCTTATTCTAAAATGTTGTGAATCTGGAAAATTGCTATACATGTAGTTATGTTTTTAGGTTTCTGCCAAATATTTTCTTTATCTGTATATCGTAGAATCCTAGTTTATCGGTATCTGGCATGCAGGTATACATGTAATTATAGGCAGTAGTGATGTAAATCACTGAATGTTTTGATAGAGAATGTGAAATGATATAAGATGTCTGGCAAGCTGTAGAATTATTTTATACCATGTTATTGATAATATCAGTATTTATATTCTTATTCTACATATTCCTTGGGCGGGGGTCGAATTGTTAGCATGTGCACCCTGTATCATAAGATCTGTCATTGAGTCAACTGGTGTGGTTCCGATTCCCCGGTTGTAAGTGACAAGGAGTAGGGTCTGGGGTGGGTTAAATCCTGTGGTCTGAGGTTTGGAATCTATTTGTCTGTAACCATTTACAAACTTTCTGTAACCACCCAGGGGGTTGGATGGCTGAATGGTTAGCGTGCGCGCACGCTGTAGCATAAAGTCTGTCATTGAGTCGACTGGCGTGGTTTCGAATCCCCGGTTGTACGTGACAAGGAGTAGGGTTGCCTGTCCAACCTCGTGGGTTTTCTCTGGGTCCTCCGGTTTCCTCCCACTGCTAAAAAAGACCCCTACGCGCAAGCGAATTATTGAAATAAAAATAAAACCATATGTTAGTCCCAAAATGACCTTGTTTGTGTCGAGTGGACGTTGAACCCCATTTCTCTCTCTCTCTCTCTCTGTAACCACCCATAACCAACAATATTCACTCTGTAACCAGCGATCGGCAATCCAACCGGTGGTCTTTAGTCTGTAACCAGCGATGTTCAGTCTAACCCCATTTATGTTCAGTCTGTAACCATTGATTTTCAATCTGTAACTAGCAATCTTCTGTCGGTAACCACTGATCTTCAGTCTGTAGCTAGTGAATTCATTCTCTAACCAATGATTTTCAGGATTTTTGGTATTTTACCACATTGATCTTTGATGTGTAACCATTGAATTTCAGTCTGTAACCAGTAATTTTCAGTCTCTAATGATTTTCAGTCTGTAACCAATGATCTTATGTCTGTAATCAGTAATTTTCAGTCTGTAACCAATGATCTTATGTCTGTAATCAGTAATTTTCAGTAACCAATTATCTTATGTCTCTAAACAGCGATTTTCAGTCTGTAACCAATGATCTTATGTCTGTAATCAGTAATTTTCAGTAACCAATTATCTTAAGTCTCTAACCAGCGATTTTCAGTCTGTAACCAATGATCTTATGTCTGTAATCAGTAATTTTCAGTAACCAATTATCTTATGTCTCTAAACAGCGATTTTCAGTCTGTAACCAATGATCTTATGTCTGTAATCAGTAATTTTCAGTAACCAATTATCTTAAGTCTCTAACCAGCGATTTTCAGTCTGTAACCAATTATCTTATGTCTGTAACCAGCGATTTTCACTCTGTAACCAATGATCTTATGTCTGTAATCAGTAATTTTCAGTAACCAATTATCTTATGTCTCTAGACAGCGATTTTCAGTCTGTAACCAATGATCTTATGTCTGTAATCAGTAATTTTATTTCTATCTATTTATAATGCTTTTGAAGCTGTAATGTTTTATGTGCATATTTTGTATTTAGTGCGCTTGCTCAAATTTTCAGTCTGTTACCAATTATCTTATGTCTGTAACCAGCGATTTTCAGTCTGTAACCAATGATCTTATGTCTGTAACCAGCAATTTTCAGTCTAACCAATTATTTTGAGCACTTTTGGCATATTACCAATGATCTTTGATCTGTAACCAACGAATTTCCATCTGTAAAACAGTGTAATTAATTCCATGATTGTAAATGATGTAGAGTACCCCCCGCCCCCTCCCTCTCTCTCTCTCTCTCTCTCAAAGTTATGCAATATACCAGTCTCCAAGATTGACTGTCACTGTCAGTCATTATGAGAAGATCCACCCATGATATTTGATTTTGGCTACAGAGCCAATGTGGTAATAAATTGTTACTACAGTATCAGGGGGTCAGACTTGTAAAATATAGTGAATAATTACTGGGCCAAGTAAAACAATTTTTATTGCTCTGACTTAGATTGCTTTATTTATTACTGGGTAGCTACTTTTTTTCTCTCCTTCTCTGTAAAGTACTATAAGTATTAATGTTGATGCAGCTATATGGTGCCATCAATTCCTGCCATTCCTTGACAGGATTAAATTCCTGTTGGAATCGTTTCTATGTTATTTTCATCAATAATATGAAGAGATGTAAATATTTTGTTGTGCGTGTGGTTTTAAGTAGCGGTATCAGAATCATAGATCTGTCTTATTTTTGGGGGGATGAGAAAATAAGCAGCATTATCAGAATCAAAAATCAGTTCAACTCTATCTTTCTGTAATTTTTTTCTTGTGAAAAAAATAAAACTGTTTTGCTGTTATATATTATTGTACATTATATAGTATGTAAAACATTGGGCTGACCTGAAGTTATCTTCTGCTCAGTAACTTTTGGTTTGGGATATCCAGAGGCCTTATGTGGCTTTTTCATAGGCTGAAATTTGAAATCCTAATACATATTTTATTTAATGGCCAATGAAAAGGTTGCATTCTTGAAATATTTCACATTGTTCTTTTGTGGTCCAAATGATTGCTGGAAGTCGCCATAAGTCATGACAGGTATTGTGGTTTAGGCAGGGCGTGCTTACTTTGTATACCACCTCATTCCACTTATCAGTTGAGTTGACATAGCTAAAAATATTTGATGTTTTTTTTTTAATGTGAAATGTAATGGTACCACAGAGCAATATATCAGTATTGGGTTTCAGACGCTTGATCATTTGTTTCGTTATGACATTTAATTTCTTAATCTGTTGCTTTACTGAAAAATGTGTGTCTTTTGTTCCCTCTAGAATAAATGAGATGATGGTTAATGTCACACTTTTTCTACACCCACCAGGTTAATGACAAAACTAAAAAAAGGGGGTTGGATGGCCGAATGGTTAGCACATGCGCGCTGTATCATAAGGTCTGTCATTGAGTCAACTGGCGTGGTTTCTATTCCCCGGTTGTACATAACAAAGTGTAGGGTCGCCTGTCCTTCTCCGTCCTGCATCACTGACAAGGGGGAAGCACACCGGAAAATCTGGATGACCTTTCTCGGCCAATGCAGGGATCGAACACCCGACCTCCAGGCTAGCGAGCCAGCGTCTTACCCACTTAGCCATAAGATAATAGAACAAGCAGAAAATAATCAAATATGAATCACACAAATATGTTGGTGATCTTCAAAATCGTGCATAAAAAACGATAACTTAGATTGTCTTTTAAAGATAAGAATGGCAAAAGAAAATTATTGTTGATTATGAAAATGATTGTAGCTCACATTTATAGCCCAATAAATCATTCCAAAAGTGATATTGTCTCACCTTTTTAATTGATCAATCATTTTTGTATTTATTTTATGTTTGTTTCAGAATTATTTTCTGGAGAGATCAAAGAAATCTTATACTCTTCTTTTTTTAATACTTTTAAGGTGCAAGCCCACTTTCAGAAAACTGACAAATTCTGAACCCTTTCAACAAATGCATGTGTAAAACATCTAATCCATTTGAAACACACACAAATATATGATTATTAAATCTTCAGCCATCTAATTGATTGTGTACAACTAAAAATCTGTATGCACAATTGAATTATTAAAATAAAATTGAACCATACATGTGTGTTAGTCCCCAAATGACCTTGTTTGTATGGAGTGGATGTTAACCCCCCTCTCTCTCTCTCTCTCTCTCTCTCTCTCTCTTATTCTCTTGTGTACAAATTTTTGTCTTCACTGACCAGGTTGGTGCAGAAAAGTAGGATGTTAAACCCCATTTCATTTAGTGTATAAATTCATTATACCCTCTGAAGAAAGCATACAGAAGATTTGATAGTCATATTATTTGTGTGTGTTTCAAATGGATTAGATGTTTTACACATGCATTTGTTGAACGGGTTCAGAATTTGTCAGTTTTCTGAAAGTGGGCTTGGACCTTAAAAATATTTGATATTAAAAAAAATGAGTATAGGATTTTGATCTCTCCTGGAAATAATTCTGAAATAATTCATACAAAGTTATGAAAATTTGAAAGACAGCAATAAAGTAAATTACTTTGAAGAAATTTAAACACTTAAACTTATCTGCCATATCACCTCAGTGGAAGCTGCGGATGTTAGATAAACTTAAAAAAAATTTTTTGTTTCATTAAAAAAATTTATGAAATTTTCTATTTATGCAAGACAAATGTTAATCGGTTTAATGTGGTGTGTGGTTTTCAAAAGAATGCTTCAAGAAATTGTTCTGATTGTGTTAATAAGATAATAAAGGGCATTTAAGGTCAAACTGACTGGAACCACAACATAAGTGAAATACCTCTATGGTCCTGACTGCTGGATCATAACATTGATAAAGGTTAATGATGGCCATTAATGAATGAATGAATCTCAAAACCTACAAACAGTACTAATGATAAAATCATTATTTATTTTTACAGTCTCAAGGTAGAACGGAAGTGATGTTAACATTAGAGAAAGTGGTAGCAGGCCTCGGCTCGGCTGGTAATTCATGCCATAAAGATATCTATAAAGCCGCTCGACAAGCGATGACAGATCGATCAATGTCTGTAAGATATGCTGCTGCCAAGGTAATGATTATCCCATACAAAACTCACCGCATTATAGACATATTGTTATTATTGAATACACCGCATAATATCGATAATTCTTACAATATTGTTATTATTAAACATACCTATGGGATTTGTCTGTAATAGTCGTTGATTCTATCCAACACCTGACACAGAATTTCAAATTAGAAAATGGGGAGGGGGATGGGAGACAGGTAATTACCCAAGACTAATTCTCTTTAACAAAAATTTAAAACACGCACACACGTGTGAACAGTCTCCCCCCCCTCCCTCCATGAAAAACCCCCACCAAAATCAACCCAAACCAAACAAAAACATCAACAACCCCCTCCCCCCCAACCCCCCCCCCCCCCAAAAAAAAAACAAACCATGAGGCAGACAAAAAATTAAATATTTATTCAAACACTAGATTCACTCAGTAAAATTTGGATTTTTAGTAAGTGTTACAAAGATATCCACCAAATGCACTCAGTGCATACAGCTTGATTAGATGCTAGAGCCAATATGAAAACATGTGAAAAGTAAACATTGTTCAAAATTTGGCATTGGTTTCTTTAAAAAAAACATATATAATTGTGTTAGAGCCAATATAAATCCACAGCATAAACATGTAAAAGATTGGTCCCTTAAACCCCCCCAACCCACAAAATACAAAGAAAAGAACCAATCAAAAAAACTAACAAAAAAATATGTCCACAATCCTACTAAATTAAAAACTGTCCACAATCCTACAAAATTGAAAAAAACCTGTAACCATTTCATTATTACTGTACTTTGTGAATATGTAAAAAATTGGTCCCATTTAACACCCCAAAAAACAAATCCAACGCAACCATTTCATTATTACATCGTGACCCAACATTTGTACTGTATATATAAAGTTTATACTTGCTTGTGCCAATAGACCGCACTCAGAACTTGTAAAATAAATATTGCTCAATATCATGGCATTGATTCTTTAAATGTCATCCTAGTGTAAATACCAGGCATAAATCAAATTCCAGTTGTAACCCTCAGCCATTTACAGATATTCATACAGAACCAATATTATTAATAATTCATTCACATCAGACAAATATATCATCCGTACAAATTAAATGTCGTGTAAGAAAGAACAACTTTTCTCTGAAAACTATATTTATATTAGATTACATGTTTTTAGCATCCATAAATATAGTTCTAAGTGTTAATAAACACCCATAAAACATGTTTTCAGATGCATTGAAATAACAGTATTGTTATTAATTCATAAGAAAAATAACTCGCTCAGTATTAGACTATTTGCATGGAGATAAAACATGTTATATGGTCATCTACATGCTACAAACTTACTCAATGTTATAAACCTCAACATTAAATTTTATTGAATAAAATTCTTATTTCTTAAAATGGTATACAGAATACCAAAGTAATGTTTTTGTACATTAAGTGACCTTGTCAAGAGATAAATAATGGTTATTGTTCAAAACATTTGCAAGTACTGAAGTTGGTGACATGGACTTAATGACTTAATCTTTTTCTTTCTGTGTTTTATGGGAGGTAAAACACATAATCTTTAAGTGTCATTTAGCGATTGGGAAACACATTAACAGAACACAATTTTTATGGGAAACAATCACTGGTTTTATTCTAAAAGCACAACGTTTAGACAAGTATATTCTTATCGTTAGAGGGGTTGGATGGCCGAATGGTTAGCACGTGCGCGCTGTATCATAAAGCCTGTCATTGAGTCAACTGGCGTGGTTTCAAATCCCTGGTTGTACGTGACAAGGAGTAGGGTTACCTGTCCAACCTCGTGTGTTTTCTCCGGGTCCTCAGGTTTCCTCCCACTGCTAAAGACCCCTACACGCAAGCGAATTATAGAAATAAAATTAAACCATATGTTAGTCCCGAAATGACCTAGTTTGTGTCGAGTGGACGTTAAACCCCATTTCTCTTTCTCTCTTATCCTTATTGTGCTTGTTTCCCATAAAAATTGTGTTCTGTTAAGGTAAAACACAGCTTTAAATAGAAGCAGGGGAACACTATTAAATACAAGAACAGAGTAAAGTTGATTGAATCAAATAAAAGTGTTCTAATCATTTTAAATGTATGCAAGATGTCAACATAGATCTCAAAATAGTAAACATCTGGGAGCCATGTTGACTTGGTTACAGGATGAATTGAGAAGATGTCCTCGGGCTCGACCCCTGTGTTGGCGGAGAAAGTTCATCAGGATTTTTCAGTCCTGTTTCTGACAGTGATGGAAGATAGAGAGCCTTGCAAGGAAATACATCTTAGCACGTGCATGCTGTATCATGTCTGTCATTGAGTCAACTGGCATGGTTTCGATTCCCCAGTTTTATGTGACGAGAAGTAGGGTCGCCTGTCCAACCTCTTGGGTTTTCTTCGTGTCCTCCGGTTTCCTCCAACTGCTAAAGACTCCTACGCGCAAGTGAATTATGAAAATAAAATTGAACCATGTGTTAATCCCGAAATGACCTAGTTTGTGTCAAGTAGACGTTAAACTCCATAGCGCCACTGTCCGAAAAAAATATCACTCATAGCACTTTGCATATGCCTGTCTTTGTTTGTTCAGTTTGTGCGAAAAACTAAGACATTAGATGCTATTTCATTTCATTTCGATTCAAGGGCTTGTGCTTGATATTACTAAGTACCGTATGTGTGTGTGTATAGCGAACATAAAACACAAGTGAAGCTGTGATGTAGGCAAAACATTGACCACACTTATTGAACATGTTGAAAAGATGATACAACATCGACCTTTCCATTCCATTCATTTCCTTACCTCTCTTTCATTCCACCAATCTGTAATAATAGATTGGTACCAAATGTTCGACTGGTACCAAATGTTTGAGTAATGTTACAGAAGAGAAGAAGCAAATCCTGATTAATCTTTACATGGAGTGAATAAACATCCCATGGGTATATATTATACCAATCTACAGGTTTTACATGTTTCTCAAATATAAATTTTGAAAACTTAGTTAATTAGTTGACATCCGAATGGCAATTGTACAGTAAGGACTAAGGGAAGTTATTAACAGATGAACAAGACATCATGTGGGCTGGCATAAAGTCGTTTCTGCTTTCAGACTGAAAGGTGTTATAATATTGTATTTGGGACTATAAGCATTTAGACTTGCATAAAGTCATTGCTGCTCTGAAATCCTAGAGGTGTTATAATATTGTATTTGGGACTATAAAAATAAGCATTCAAACTTGCATAAAGTCATTGCTGCTTTAAAGTCCCAGAGGTGTTATGATATTGAATTTAGGACTATCAATATAAGCATTTGAAGTATTTGGACTTGCATAAAGTTGTTGCTTTAAAGTCCCAGAGGTGTTACGGTATTGTATTTGGGACTATCAAAGTAAGTATTCAAACTTGAATAAAGTCATTGCTTCTTTGAATCCCATAGGCACAATAATATTGCATTTGGGACTATTAATTTAAGTCATTGCTGCATTAAAGTCCCGAAGGTGTTATAATATGGTATTTGGGACTATCAATATAAGCTCATCTTGAGGTATTTATTATACAGATGAAACACAGTGTGATCCTTTGTACGATTCAATTACCAGTGAAAAGAACCATCTTGGAGTAACAGCTGAATGTTATTGAAAAGGTAATCAATAGAAAGATGCTATTGATACGTTTCGTTAGTTTGGAATTGATATGATTTATGGCCCTATAACGACGAGAATCAGGGTCTTAAATCAAATCAAGACAACTTCAAAACAGTTTCCATCCCGTTCATGTTCAGTTACGACTTAAGAAGAATTGTTTTTTTAAAGGTTAAGTGTTCAATTTAAATAGTAAAAAGATTAATTTGGTCCTTTGATGTTTGTAGATTTATCTTTTGTGAAAAAAGAGAGATTGATCTGTAAATTAGTAGTAAAAATTCATGTATACATCTATGTTTTTATTTATCATGTGTGCCTTTTAAGTGTATATGTTGACGTCATTTTAATAAAAGTCATTTTCACAAGAAGGCTTTCTATATTTTAGTCGTTATTGGGATAATATTGTTTAATATGTATCTTGTCTGTTTGCTGTTTCAAGTAGGATATATGTGTATTAACTAGTACTTCTGACCATCAGGGTGGGTTAGATGGCTGAATGGTTAGCGTGCGCGCGTTGTATCATACGGTCTGTCATTGAGTCAACTGGCTGGGTTTCGATTCCCCGGTTGTACGTGACAAGGAGTAGGGTCGCCTGTCCAACCTCGTGGGTTTTCTCCGGATCCTCCGGTTTCCTCCCACTGCTAAAGACCCCTACGCACAAGCGAATTATGGAAATAAAATTAAACCATATGTTAGTCCCGAAATGACCTAGTTTGTGTCGAGTGGACGTTAAACCCCATTTCTCTCTCTCTCTCTTAAGCTGGTTTTGCCTCTTAGTATGTGTGAACGCTAGTAGACTACCGTACACTCTTCTAGCTTCAGCTGTCTTTAAGGTATTGCACTTTTCATTAATTTTTTTTTTTTAAATTTGCAGTTACAAGTAGAATATATATGTGCATATTTAACTGTTGCCTCTGACAGCAACTGTCACTCTTTAGTCTAATCAAAATACACCAATATTGGGGCCAATCCACCACTAATTCCTTTAGAAGTTGTATTGGTACCAAATTGTAGAGGAACTTCCGCTGTACATCATACTGAAAATCCACTGAAATCCACCTGGGGTGTTTGGAAGTTATATAAGAGTAGACCTTAATTCTGTTTCCTTCTTTCTCCAGACATTGTAATGAAAATAGAAGGAATGATGGACAATCTGTCTGCCACTAATTACTTGGTCATCTCCCTCATAAATGATTGATGAGTATAAGAAGCTTGTTTTTGTGATTTCTGGCTTACCAAGAAAAACAATTTACTGACAATATGTCAAGTCTTATATATCTAAAGGAGAGAGAAATGGGGTTTAACATCCACTTGACACAAACTAGGTCATTTCGGGACTAACATATGGTTCAGTTTTATTTCAATAATTT